TTCTAGAGTGCAGGCTTTCTAGTTATAAATTCTTTTAACTTTTGTCATGGAAGGTTTTTATTTCATCTTCAAATTTGAAGCTTAATTTTGCTGGATATAAAATTTTTGGTTGGCATCCATTTTCTTTCAGAGCTTTTAATATATTATTCMAGAACCTCCTAGCTTTGAGGGTTTGGGTTAAGAAATCAGCTGAGATTCAAAATTGGTTTCCTTGTATACGTAATTTGATTTTTTTTCTCTCATGGCCATGAGCTGCATTCATACTGTTAAAGTCACATGAAGGCCAGATTTTCTTAACTTAGTAAGGACCTTCACTGGCCTCCAGACCAAGGCACATCATAATGAGAATGACTAACATACAGAATAAGGATAGAATCTTCTAGCAGCTCAAAGGAGGCAGCAGACTGCACAGTGCAGATGACATTCTTTTTCCAACCAGGACAAAAGAAACAGAGAGTGAACAATTCCATAAAAACTCCAAACAAGAAAAGGAAAACAGCCCCCTGCTTTACCTCCCAACCAATTTCCAATGATTAACACTAGGTTTTGTACCCAGTGGTAAGAAATAAAGCAACCAGAATCTAAGGACTTCATTCGATCACTGAAAGGCAGCAGGCTGTAGCCCAAACAAGAGACTGYTTTCCTACAATATGACATTATACCTAGAAATCTCTCATCATAGGATTTTTAATGAATTCTCCCATATTCTAACAATTATTAAGTATCACAATTTTCACTAACATTGATATATACATTTTGAGGAGGCTAAAGAACATAGTGACTAAAAATCCAGTCCAATATACTCAACTGTAGATTCAATTTTCCACCACATGAAGAAACAAAATACATCAATGACTATTATCATATAAGAATTTCCATAAGTATTTTTTAATATAAAAAAGAAAGCAAAGCATTTTCTCTCCTTAAGCATGACCTTTCCAAAATATTCTAAACCATTKAGCTTGGGAGCAGGAAAATGCCTAAATTAATCTTTTCCAGCTTCTACTGCACTGTTTATAATCCGAAACTACCTTTTAAAAATGTATAGGTCACTGCTTATATTAAAGTGACAAAATATGAAATTAAACAGTTCTTATCAACAGTGATCCTCTATTGTATTGTCAGAGATGGAATTCCAAATCACAGTTCAAGCTTTTAGTCAAATTGACAATTACAATGCAAATACTGAGGCTTTGGTTTCTTAAGAATAGGGGTGGGAAGCAATCTTCCTCTCCCTCTTTCTTTGAAATTTTGTGCATTCTGCAAAGAGAGGAAAATAAGTATGGAAAATTTCTCTAATTTTCTCTTGCAAAAAAGAACAATTGTCTCTTCAGTACTATTCTTATGCTTACCAGATGCAATTTGCTTTGAGAACAAATGTATAAAAATCAAGGTTTAAAAAARGGGGTGWGGGGGCTACCCACATGCTGTATCTAATTATTCAACAAAGTATCCTCTTGTAAGTAATTACCAAGTAACAAGTGTATGTTCCCTTTTGTGAAATGGAGAAAAATGGAATTTTAGAAATTAAATCCAGGTTTTTGTTTCAGCTTACATTATAATTTAAGGATTGCAGTTTTATTTTGAATTTTGCATTTGCAGTTTCTCCTAATGTTTAAAAAAATTGTCAATTTATAAAGGTTAATGATCTGCAAGCACACATAAGTGTATTTTTAGAACTTTAAAGAAAAAAAACTTATATAAAAGAAAATTTTTCCATTTGCTTTTAACCTTTTGGCTTTCTTTTTGTTTATGGCTTTTATATTATACTTTACGTAYAAACCTAAGAAACATTTAAAGGAAATTTCAACAAATTAATTTTCTAAAATAACAGTAATGAAATACAACCAATGTAATAAAATAAGAACCCATGAGACTACACTAATATAAACAGATACATAGGAAGTTCTTCCTTATAGTAGGATTCCATAAATGTAGATGGAATTATGGACTTTTCAAAATCACCACTTGCCACCATTCACAGAAATAATAGTTTCAGGAAAAGGATCAATACTATCAAGTCTCAGATAGTCTCTTCATAAAAAAAAATAAAAAAAAAAAAATAATAATAGTAACCTTCCAGTGAAGAAACCTGYAGGCAATACCATAACCAAGGGTTCAGTTTTCACTGATTATGGAACCCATCAACCTCACATAGCTTCTTATGTGATACTCTGAAAAGGACACCAGTTATCTGGATTTCCTGCCAAAAGTCCATATCCTGAATGTAGTCTTGAAGAAATATCAATAAGCCCAAAATGAAAGATATCCTCCAAAATAGCTAAGACCCTGCAAAGTCAGCATGAATAAAAACTGAAAATCTATCCTAGATTAAAGAGAATAAATAAGTTTGTGTGAACCTGGATTTTCATCCTGGATGGAAAAAGAACAATACTAGCAAAATTTGCATGAGACCTATAGATTAAAACACAGTATTATACTGATGTTAACTTTGATTTTTATCATTGTACCATAATTAGAGAAGAAAACATAACAAATTACTTAAATGTAAAAATACTTAATTATCTGTGACTTTCTCAAAAATGTTTTAGAAAAATATTATATACATATATAGATAAAGAAAAGTGATAAATCTGGTAACTATGAATACMAAGGGAATTCAAGTAAAGATTACACAGAAATTCCTTGTTCTAATTTTTAACTTTATCATAAACCTGAAATTTCAAAACAAAAACAGCTAAAGAATAACATTCTCCATTTCAAATTGGTTTGAAGATAAACAAATTCAGAGTTAGGTACTTCCATACAAGGACATATCATCAATTCTGTAGTCCCTGTGGGCTATACATTCTCTATCACAACTACTCTGGCACTGTGTCACAAAAGCACTCATAGATATAAGTGAATAAAAGTGGCTGTACTCCAATAAAACTTCATTTATAAAAACAGACAGTAGGAAGCCAGATTTGGCCCCTGGACCATAGTTTGATGGCCCCTTTGTCTAGTCCATGGCATGTGTTAAATAGTAATTCCACTTTCAGTCAACATTCCTTAAGCACATGCCACGAGGTTAAGTGCTTTACTTGCATTAACTCAATTATCCTTGCACCAAACTGATCAGGCATATGGTTATTATTTCCATTTTCCACAAAGGAAACTAGGATCTACAGAAGTTTAAAAAAAAATGCCTGAGGTCACACAGATAGCAAATATGAAACAAGTTAGGGCTGATTCTACACACTAAACTATTTATAACCAATATGCTATACTTTTTCTCATAGAAATATGATTATACTGTCATTTTCAGCAACTAAAGAATTAAATCAATTTTAACATTATCTAAATAACTACCTAAATTCAAGATTTACATTCCAAGAAAGCACTTCTCACAAACCTCCTGTAACTGCAAGGACATGATTCCCAACTGATCTTGACGTCTTTCCACCAGCTCTCTTTCAGTGCGCATCTCTCTTTGTATTTCTTGAAGCCGTCGTTCCACCCGATCAGAAACCTCAATAAAAATAAGGAGAAACARTGACATTATAGTACTGGTAAGACACCAAATTGAGGAGATATTTTATGTCAGATACCTACTACCTAAAGCATTTTTTAATTTTAACTTATATGTAGAATCCTTTCTAATGATCATATTGTAAATGAAATAAATAAATGAAAGATACCCAAAAAATCAGTCATTATTCTTCAATTAATCCACACTTGGATCCCAGTAACAAACTACAATAATTCAATTGCTCAGTTAAGAATAATATACTAGAAAAGAGTGCCCTCTGGTGATTTAAGGGAAAATATCAATTCTGCCAACAATTGCATTTAGTACCCAATTAATGATGGAACTGTTCTGTCCATTCAGTTCTTTTTCACTTTTTGTATCCATGTGCATGACCTGCTTAGGAAGGTATTAATGTTTATGTGCACCAAATAATTAAAAGGACTTTTCATCAGCTTGTCAATGTTTTCAACTGTGATTTGCTCAAAAGATAAAAACCCAAAGTCAAATTAAGAAGTGTTTAATTGGAACTCTAAAATAAACATGAAAGAATTTTTCTCTGATACAAGCTTTTCCTCACTAAAAGCTGTTCAAATTCAACCACATTTCACATGTATTCTTATATAGCCCCTAAATGAAATTTACACTATTTTGCCAATGCATGTTTGTGCAGGAGGATACAGTGAATAACAGACATTCTGTATTCATTTAAAAGCAGCAATAAATAAGGCCCAGTTATTTAAAAATTAAAGAAAAAAAAACTTTTGCAACCAAGTCTGTGTTTGACAAAGTCATGAAAAACTTTAATAGGACAATAGAAATTTTTGACACTGGATTTTATCATGGTTGCACAGTTCAGAAAATTAAATTTTAAAAAAATCACTAAATTGCACATCTAAAGCAAATTACATTTATGGTAAATTGTATCAACTTGTTTTTTTAAAATATAGGTAAAGATAAGTTTAATTGATCAATAAATGCTGAGGAAAAGTATATCAAAAAATTAGCACCATACTAAAAACTGTAAATAGACTCTTTAGCAATAAGACATTCATTTGTCAGTAAAGTAGAAGGGGAAAACAGTGGAAGGAAGGAGAGGAAAGGTGGCACAACAGACTGAAATGGAACATACCAAATTCCATGCATGTATGATTGTGTCAACACGAACCTAACTAGTATGTATAACTATAATGCTCTAATAAAAGAAATTAAATATAAATAAATTCCATGAGGTGAATGGCTTCTATCTCTAAGAAGGCAATGTTTATCATGAAAATTAAAGTCATTCAGGTAACCACATACTAAAATGAAAATACAAAATTATGCAGACATTAGAAATTTCACCACAGCAAGCACATGCTATACACAGTTACTCTACATGCAGAATTCTTTTGTTTCTTTAGTAATAATTCTAATAAGACATAATTAGATGTTTTTAAGTATATACATATTATGAAATAATTACCACAGTTAAGCTAATAAACATACCCATCATTTTTCTTAGTTACCATTTGTGTGTGTGCTGTGGCGAGAATACGTAACATCTATTCCTAGCAAATTTCAGGCTTATAAAACAGTCTTATTTACTATAGTCACTATGCTGCACATTAGACCTCTAGAACTTATTCATCCTGAAAAGCTGAAACTTCATACCGTATGACCTTCATCTCCCCATTTCCCCCTACTCCACCAGTGCAACTATCATTCTACTCTCTGTTCTATGAAAGAGAAATTTTAGATTTCACATATAAGTGAGATCATACAATAAAATAATGTCCTCCAGGTTCATCCACATTTGTTACTAACAGGTTTGTTTCAACATACAGGATTTCCTTCTTCAAAGCTAAACAATGTGTGTATGTGTATGTGTATGTGTGTGTGTGTGTGTGTGTGTGTGTGTGCGCGCGCACGCACGCACACATTGCTATTTCTTTATCTGTTCATCAGTAAACCAGGTTGTTTCCATGTTTCCTGATTTTGGATACTGTTAATAATGCTGCAATGATCACAGAAGTGAAATTATTTGATCATCATTCTATTTTTAATTGTGTTAAACAGTCTCTGGCATGGGTCCAAAAGACCTCTACTTCTGGATATTCATGAACGTGTATAATTCCCTCTCCTGAGTGCAGCTGGCCCAAGGAACTTGATTCTAATTCTGAAAATAGCACAAAAATGTTTTAATGACACTTGATGATTAGATTACAGAAAACTGGCTTCCAACTTGCTTTTTCTCTCTCACTGGTCCTCTTCTAGCTTGCTTGTTCTGATAAAGCATACTGCCATGTTATGAGAAGCCAAGATTAAAAAAAAGAAAAAAGCCCCTAACAGGTCATGAGGAACTGCTGAACAACTAGAAAAAGAACAAATAAATTCATTCAGCAGAAAGAGGGAAATAATAAAGATTAGAGAAGAAATAAATGAAATAGAGACAAGAAAAACAGAAAGGATCAATTAAACTGGAAGTTGGTTTTTTAAAGATAAACTAAATTGACAAAATATTAGCAGACTAAATTTTTTTAAAAGTGAATATTTATATAAATAAAATTAGAAATAAAAGAGGAGACATTATAAGTGATACCACAGAAAGACAACAGCTCATAAAAGACTACTATGAATACCAACAAATTGGCTAACCTTGGAGAAATGGATAAATTCCCAGAAAATACAACATGTGAGGCACTGAGTTCAAACTTCATCACCACATAAAAGAGAAAATAAATTAAATAAAGGTATTGTGATCATCTACAACTAAAAATATTTTTTTAAAAAAGGATGCATCATGAAGAAATAGAACAGACCAATAGTGAAAAGGACATTGACTCAGCTATAAAAATTTTTCCAACAAAGAAAAGCCCAGAATCTGAAGCCTTCACTTGTGAATTCTACCAAACATTTAAAAAAGAATGAATTCCAATTCTTCTCAAGCTCTTCAAAAAAATTGAAGATGAAATCAACAAATGTGATATACCAAACTAACAAAATGAATAAAAATCATATCATCAGATGCAGAAAAAGCATCTCATATAATCTGACATGCTTTCATGATACAAATCTTGAACAAATTACAAAAATTATGAACAAATTTCAAAGCAATAGAGGTCTTATTTGGTAAACCTACTGATAAGATTTTATTCAATGGTGAAAAACAGAAGGTTTTCCCTGTAAGATCAGGATGCCCACTCTCGACACTTACATTTGATATAGTTCTAGAAGTCCTAGCCAGATCAATTGGATAAGAAAAAGAAATAAAAGACATTCATATCAGAAAAGAAGCTTAACTATCCATATTTGCAGATGTCATAATTTTATGTATAAAAAACCCTAATGTCTCCACCAAAAAAAAAATGTTTGAATTAATAAACAAATTTGATAATGCCACAAGAATCAAAGTTCAACACACAAAAAATCAGTAATATTTCTATAAATAACTTCTCTCAAAAAGGAATCAAGAAAATAACCCCATCTTGCGTAGCATCAAAATAAAATATGTAGGATTAAATTTAACCTAGAGGGCAAAAGATCTATATACTTAAGACAATAAGACGTTAAAGGAAAAAAACTTGAAATCATATATAAACATAAAGTTATCTCACGCTCACGGATTAGACAAATCTACCCATACTATCCAAAGTGATCTACAAATTTAATGCAGTCTCTATGAAAATTCCAGTAGCATGTTCCACAGATATAAAATAATTCTAAAATTCATACAAAGCCAAAAAAGACCTCAAATTCACAAAGCAATCTTGAGTAAAAAGAACAAAGCTGGTAGAATCACATTTACTTCAAAATATACTATAAAGCTATATAGGATTCAAAACATCATGGTACTAGAATATAAAAATACATAATGCGGGAGAAGGCTAGGGAAAAACTAGAGGAAACTTGGACTAGACAGAGAGGAGTGAAGGAAGGGGAGGGGGGACAGAGTGGAAAAGACATTAGAATGAATCAGACATCATTACCCTAAGTGCACATGACTATGCGACTGGCGTATTTCTACATCATGTACAACCAGAAGAATGAGAAGTTATATTCCATTTATGTATGATATGTCAAAATGCATTCTACTGTCATGTATTACTAATTTGAATTTTTAAAAATTAAAAAAAAACAGATAACCTAGCCTAACTGAACGGAAGAGAGAAACCAGAAATAAATCCATTCATTTATAATCAATTGATCTTCAACAAAGGTACTGAAAATGCACAAAGGATAAAGGACAGACTCTTCAATAAATGGTGTTGGCAAAAATGGACATCCACAGGCAAAATGATGAGAAGAGACCTTTATCTCACATTTAAAAAAAAAAAAAATCTACTCAAATGGATTAAAGTCTAAACCCAAGCCATGAAACCATAAAACTCTTAGGAGAAAACAGGAAAAGAACTTCTTGACACTGGTCTGGATATGACCTTAAAAGCGCTGGCAACAAAAGTAAAGACAGACAAACTATAGTGCATAAAATGAAAAACACCTGTACATCAAAGCAAATAATCAACAAAGCAAAGAGACAACCTATGCAAAAGGAGAAAATACTTGGAAACTACATAACTGATAAAAGGTTAATATAAAAAACATATAAGGAACAGAAACAACTTAATAGCAAGAGGAAAATTAAAATGCTCAACTAATTATCATGGAAATGCAACTTAAATGCAAAGTAAATCTACAATGACATATTATCTTCAATCTGTTAGAATGGCACTATCAAAAAGACAATTATAACAAGTGTTAGAAAGGAAGTTAGTTAGGAAGTGGAACTGTCATACACTATTGGTATAATTTTAAGTTAGTATAATCATTATGAAAAACAGATAAAATTTCTTCAAAATATTAAAATTAGAACTACTATGTTATCCAGCAATCCAACATACAGATACTTTTTCAAATCCCCATGTTCAATGTAGCATTATTCACAATAGCCAAAATAAAGAATCAACTTAAATAGGCACTGACAGATGGATGGATTAAAAAAAACTGTTAAGCACAGAAAATGG